ATTTATAACAATCAGCTGTTACATATTTACGCAGATTTTCCAATTTTAACGTATTTTAAAGCATACTTTTAGGAGAAGTGTTAATTTTTTGCTCCAAAATCAGGGTTGAATTAGCGTATGATTTTGAGCAAATCGAAAAATTAGGGGATGTACCAACTACCAAATACTACTCTGATTTTACCTCATAAGTTATTTTATGTCTCTCCATAATAAAGTATACCGATTACGTTGATGTTTATTATTTAGAAAATTGACAACAATTTCCAAAATCAACAAAACCACCAAAAATATTGAAATGAATATTTTCATTTATGTTTTCAGAATTGTTTTATCAAATTGTCTGGGCGCTAACATTTGGTCTGTTCCCGTACTGCAAGAATGTACTAGATTTTACTATTTTCTTCGATATCATAAAGTAAAATTCGTTATCGTAGTAAAAAAATAGTAGATTTTTGCAGTACGGGAACAGGCCAATTATCAATTTTCTTTTTACTATTAATGCATGAACTTAACTGTTCCGTTGCTTGTAAACGCAAGGTTACGATTTATTCTCTTTGACGCCGTTGGCACTTCGGACACATTGCTCTGTCAATGAAAATCGGCCAGGTTGCCCAAATTTATATATTTTATATTTAATATGTTGTTATATATGAATATAGTATATATATAATTCAAATTATATTATTAAACATCTTAATCTATTAAATACAATTGTTGTTTAGTTCTTAGTTGATGTTTTTCAATTTTTTTTATTTATGGATGATTTTAGCTGGCAGTCGCTTGTAAACGCAAGGTTACGTATTATTTTCTTTAGCGCCGTTGACAAATTATAGGCGTTGCTCAGTTAGTAGGAAACAGCAAAGTTTCCTCATTTATATATTTTATAAATCCTATTATAATATATATATATATATATATATATATATCTATATATATAAAAATGAATTGCTGTTCGTTAGTCTCGCTAAAACTCGAGAACGGCTGAACGGATTTTTCTTATCTTAGTCTTAAAATATTCGTAGAGCTTCAGGGAAGGTTTAAAAGGTGAGAAAAATTTAAAAATCGCGAAAAATTTGCAAAAAAGAAAAAATATTATGAAAAAAAATATTATGAAAAACAATACTATGAAAAAAAATATTCATTTGTCAAATATTGAAAATGTTCAAAATATTTTATTTTATTCAATTGGCATTGTAACGAAACTTTTTTTCTGAGAATGCAAAACAATAATTGAGATGAATTCGCGATCATTGTATGTACACGTTTTCCATAAAATTCACTTACATTTTGGAACAAATGCAAGGATGAAAATCTGAAGATTCAGAAAGAGTTCTGAATCTAAGACATGTGCCCTAGATTATTCTTCTTGAAAATAATAATAATAGGAACATAGGAACATGTTGTTATTGAAGTACCTAAAATGTACCATTATATGGTGGTTATATGTCTAATCGTTGGTCGATGTCTTTAATCGCATACGTGTATCACAGAGAAAGGTAAGTTCATATTGAAAGAGAACAACTATAAAAAGCATTTCTTATAACAAAGAGTCTCATGATGTTACCTCAATATGTCAACTACCGATATATTTAATACCATGAAAAATCGTTGTTAAGATCGAACTTTTGTACTTCCTAATATGTAGATTCCTTAAATCGGCCGGGACATTTATATGGGGACTATGTTACACAGTATGTGTAGTAGATTGGAAAACGGGAGGTAAGAACTTCAACATACTGAAAATTAAACGGGAAATATGTATGGCTCCTTTTTATTGCATTAAGCCAAATCCATGATCCATTCCGTCAAATTCTTTACAAAACCGAAAATGGTGCGGGACCCGTATGTAGGAGCTATACAAAACTTGGTCGTGAATAGAAATGTTTCCGCAAATGTGTTTTACCCTTTCAATATCACGGAATGATATATGATATGAATGATATACGATACTACAATGGGTATGGATATATACTAATACCACATGAGAAAATACCGAACAATAAGAGTATATCATTATATGCATATCATTATATGGGGCTACCCGGACCAATTTGCACCAATATTGATAATTTTTTGTAAACAGGTTTTCTTCATCCAAAATAAAACATTACATCTCTTCAGCTGAAGCACTCCCTAAAATACCGAACTCCTTAAAGTACCGACTATTGTGGGCACCTCAAAGATTTAACCAATATTGACAATTTCAGTACGATTCATTCTACCAAATATACAACCAAACGTGCCCAAATCCCCCACAGTATCGAAAAAGGTGGATTACTATTACATGGGGGATATTTGAAAGCTCGGGCGAACATAACATTGCAGCCAAACACCGAATATTAAGGGATGCCGTTAGATGGGGATATCCGAATACTTGAGTCAATATGGAAAATTCTAATTAGGGAGAATTTCTGCCCAATAAGTATCCCTAATATTAGATTTGGGAAAAAGAAATCCATTATACCGGTGGAACGATCGAATTTTACAGGCATGTCGTAGCATCATCCAGAAGCTAAAAATTAAACCATTCACACAAAGCTGGATTCAAAAAGAAGCTCAATGGTTGGGTGCTTCACCAATTAACAGAAAAAATGAAATGGATCGAATTTCCATCTGCGAAGTCTTGACCAAACGGAATGAGATACTCTTATTTTTAAAAACGGATGGTAACTGGAAATGAGAAATGGATCACATACGATAACCCAATGCAAAAACGATCGTGGTCAAAGAGCGGTGAAGCACCTCAAACGGTGACCAAACCAGGACTAACGACCAGGAAGGTTCTGCTATGCATTTGGTGGGACTGGAATGGGATTATTTGTTATGAGTTGCTTTCATATGGCCAAACGCTAAATTCTGATCTCTACTACCAACAACTGTACCGTTTGAAGATAGCAATTGGCCAGAATTGGCCAACAGGGGAGGTGTCGTGTTTCACCAGTAGGCCTATTCTGTAGCTTTTAACAACATTCGATATTGTTTAAATTTCTTTTGTTATTGTAAAAACAATAAAACTAACAAATGAAATTGTTGTAAAATAGACAATATCGAATGTTGTTAAAAAGTTACAGAATACAGGGGCAGGACAACGCTAGGCCATCTTATGAGTAGTACAAATGTATGTGCAAATATAAAATTTATATCTTAAATCGTGGAGGGAGCAACAAAACTCACTCATAAACATCAAATTCAGTTTTGTAATGTTACCCTATGTGTGCTCTGATAAATACCAAAAATATATACAAATCACCTTATGATGGTGGGTATAAAAACAACCGAAAATGCCGAAAATTATACATCAAAAATATTGTTTGGCAAGACAGCGTTTGCCGGGCCCGCTAGTATTATATATAATTCAAATTATATTATTAAACATCTTAATCTATTAAATACAATTGTTGTTTAGTTCTTAGTTGATGTTTTTCAATTTTTTTTATTTATGGATGATTTTAGCTGGCAGTCGCTTGTAAACGCAAGGTTACGTATTATTTTCTTTAGCGCCGTTGACAACTTATAGGCGTTGCTCAGTTAGTAGAAAACAGCAAAGTTTCCCCATTTATATATTTTATAAATCCTATTATATATATATATATATTATAAATATAATTCAAATTATATTATTAAACATCTTTTAATCTATTAAAAACAATTCTTGTTTAGTTCTTAGTTGATGTTTTTCTATTTGCCGCCGTTAGCAAGATGAGATTCTTGCTTAGTCAATGACAACCGACAAATTAAAAAAAAAACAGAAATGTTTTACTTAAAACAATACATCATTTAATTCTATATATTTTTATTAAATAAATAACAAATATCACTTAATTAAAAAATATATTTGCCTTATTTTGCAATGTAACTTCAATGTAGATTGGAGATGGTGAACTTATTCTAACGCTGTTGTTGCAGTCTAATCAACGCAATGACAACCGACAAAGTAAAAAATCACACATTTTGCTTAAATAATACATAATTTTATTTAATACAATACATTTCTATTTATACAATTAATTAAAAAATAGATTTGCCTTAATTTGCCATGTTAATATCAAAATATTTTCATAGCAGATTGATTGAGTGGTGAACGCATTCTAACGCCGTTGTTGTAATTTGATCACATTGTCCATTAAATATTTCCCATTCTATATCTTAATTTTTTTAACATAATACACAAATTATGCTATTTATAGTTATATTATTTGTTAATACATATTAACATCGTTTTTACACAATAAGTTCAGTCATGTCTTTTTAGCAAAATCATCGCCGTCATTGTAACCATGGAGAGGGTAAGAGTCTAAACGCAACCATAGAGTCTAGAGTCAGCGACAGCCCTTTGCCGTGTGTTTCTTATAGGCAACGGGAAATCGCGACGGCTGACGTTCTCGTCTAGCGGCTTGACGCTAGAATAGATTTTATTCATTTTTGCTCAGCGTCATACTCAAATGTTCTCTCTTGCTCTCAGTTGAGTTGCCATATTTTAGGTAAAAATGAACAGTGCTACCAAATTTCAATGAGAATCTATATCAAAACATATGGCAGTGCTGTTAAAAAAACAAATATTTTCAAAGATTGTGGACGTTTTTTGAACGAATTAATAATAAAATGGAAGAAAAATAATTTTTTCAATAATTTTATCCAAGTTCCTTGACATTATTGTCTATTAAATAATAAATTGAATTTTGTTTGCACAACGTAAAATTTTCTGTCAGAAAATAAAAACAAATAATTGACATTTTGTGCCGCTAACGCCAACTCTTTCGTTTGGTTTTCACGCCGGCGAAAAAGTATGACGCTGACTCGTGACTCTCTGGTTGCGTTTAGACTCTAAATCAACGCCGTTAAATAATTTACGTAGGCATCTTCGGCTTTGCCTGCATTGACAAAATTGCATATAATTGTATTTATTTGTCACACGAACTGAAGAAGTTGTTGTGTGCAGACGTATCTCTATAATCAATTAACTATTTTCGTGTGTGTGAAAAAAAGTATTAACAAAAATCATGAATCGCAGACCTGGAAATCGTGGCAGACCAACACCAGCCAAGGCTTTTATCAGTGCCGACACCGGGGTAAGAAAAATAGAATTAAAAAAATATACTATATACAAAAAAAGAAGAAAACAAGTGTATTATACAATTTTATTTACAAATGTTATTAAGTTCTATGAAATGGAATTGTATATATATGAAGTGAAAAACCACAACAACTACAATTGTTAATTAGTCATTTCTTTTTTTTTATGATTTTTTGCAGCGAAAAAGTCTGTTTTATGGTTGAAAAAAAAAAATACGAAAGAAAAAAAGCCAAACCAAATTCTTAGACTTTTTTGCAATAATCTTTACAAGCGCTAAAATTTGTATGTATACTAGTAGGTTTCTATAACTAGAGAAAGGGAGGTTCTAGGTGAGCTAGCAAAAATCAAAAGAATATATGTGTATATATTTTTGTGTAATGCCCTAAAAACTTCCTTTTACTCAGTTATGTAAACTTAATATAAAAAAGGAGAGAAAGAAAGCACAATGAATTGTTTGTGGGAGGAGTGTGTTGTCCTCGTTGTTTGGTGGGCTAATAAAGTCCCCCCATAAATATTGTTGATTAGGATATGGAATCTTAGCGCTTTTGTGAATGATTATTGAAAAACGTTCTATGTGAACAATTGCTTAAATTATTAGTTTTGTGTTATATAGTTATGTACATTTTATTTTTGCTTAATGCTCAAACGTCAGAAAAAAAGGGGGCGACAAGAAGAAAAACAATTAATCTAAGGGTTAAAACAAATAATGGGTATTATTAATACACCAATCATCATGGGTATACCATACACAAATAGATTGAAGAGTAAAAAAAAACATGACATGTGTTAAATGTTTTTTTTTTTTACTTTTATTAATCATTGTGTTGAAAATTGTCATATCAAAGAAAAAATGCCTTTTTTTGTGTTTACCTGCAAAGTATTGGTTAATTGAGAGCGTGAGAGCGCCCCATTCACAATGACGTCTTGTGTTTGCCGGTATACACAAATATGCTGAGAGCACGGAGGAGGTACTACTGTCGCCGTTCGTTCTTTCTTTGAAAACAGAACGGGTTATTTTTTTCCCTTAATTTATTAAAATTGTGAAATTAATAAGACAATTAGTCACCAATTTAATAAGTATAACCGGTGGAATAAATAAAAAATAAATAAAAATCGGGTTTGATTTGTGTGGTGCGACGATCCATGATGAGTGTGTGTATGTATCCATAGTTTGACAAGGGTAATTTTTTTATTGGCGAATGAATGGGGGGAATGCATTTTGTTGGGGTGGAAGTTGCGGAAGTAAATCAACCCCCTCCCCCAGCCTGGTATTTCCTGCAGAGGCTAATAAAAATTACCCCGAAGCCATTGGGAATTACATTGCTGCCATGTTTCCAAGAAAAACAGGAAATTACAAATGATGTTTATAACATGTGTTCTAATACACGGTTTACATTCCTTTGTAATTCTTTGATTTTTGGTGACATTTCATCTAAAAGTGTTTTGAGGGATGAATTTCAAAATATTTCCCGAAAAAAATCTTACAAAACAAATTTATATGAAATGAAAATGAATGTTTAAGCAATTTTCAAGAACAATTTAAATATTTTTTTTTAATGAAAAACGTTTGGGTTTTTAGCTGTAGAAATGTCCATAGCTATTGCTAAACTAAAGTTTTAGTATGCATTAAAAAAAAAAAAGAAAAACGCCAAAATATGGTGATGAGATGATGATGATGAAACCAGCGATGATGATGATAATGGACTGTGAGTGTGGTGGAGGTTATGGCCCAATGCATTATTTTTATTTGGTGTCCTCCAGCAAAAACAAAAAAAGTTGTACACTTAACGCGACATCACATCCGTGAATTGTTGTCATCAAGGTTAGAGAGTGAGTGAGACGATCCGATCGCATACTAATAATGGTGTTCAAAATTTGTGTTTTATTGGGTAATTTGTTTTTCTTAAATACACAAACATTTTTTTTAAACCTGAAATATTTTCCACAGCAAAATTTTTATCATTGTAATTTTTTTTATTAATATTTCTCCCCAATCTCTATATTATTCAAAATTTATTTTTATAAAAATATAGGAAGCCTATAATACCCCAATTAAAGCTGCTCCTGTAGCACAGCAAGCGACACCAGCAGCAACACCAGTCCCAGCTCCAGTCCAAACCCTCAAAAAAGAACAAGCTACACCACAACAACAACAACCGCAACAGGAACCGGAGCAGGAATTCGATAATACTGAGAATGTTGAGGGTAATCCCTTTAAGGATAATGATGCCGAATTGGATGTCTCGGGATTGGTTGATGAAAATGGCAAAGTTAAATTCAAGAAAATCTTTGCTGTACGCAAGAAGTCTTCAGGTAAATATTGATGATTTGATAAAATTAATAACAGACGGCATATTCATTTACATTTCCCCATCTTCCAGTTCGCACCCGTGAGAAGCGTATACGCCAAAATCGCCGTTTACGCAAAACTCTTGTACCCAAAAATGCCCTTATGGCCCTAAATGAACTGAAAGGCGTTTCGGTTGGAGATTTTGTCATTAACTCCAATCCAAATGGTGGCTTTATTGCCTTAGTCACATGCAATAACAATCAATATGAGGGACGTGGCATATCCAAAACTGCCGCCAAGAACAGTGCCTGTGAAAAGGCTTTGCGAGATTATATTATTGCCAAGATGCGTCAACGGCCACGTAAAATCTCCAATGGCAGCAATAATCCCAATGCCATGGATACCAGCGATGCTGATGGCAATGACCCAGCTGCCGCCGACGAGACCGAAGATGTACCCATGGTAAATTTGGCCTCATTTGCCATTTACAAACTATTCTCGGAATGGGAAAGTGAAGGATTTGTTATACCTGAAATGCATCCTGCATCGGCTGGTGGTGGCGGTAATATCAGTGACAATGAAAGTATGTCGGGCGGTGCCGTCAAGGAACCCAAAAAGCCACCAATTCGCACAGAATTGCCACCCAACTGGGAGGCAATGCATCCAGCCTCACTTTTGTGTTTCGTAAGTTGAAAAGAAAAAATTAAAAAAAAAATTGGAAGAAAATTTAAATCCCCTTGTTGTCTTGTTTTACAGATGCGTCCCGGTGTTACCTATCAAGATAAAGGCACAAGTGGCGAAAAGCCAAATATTATGACCACATTGGCCATAACCGTAGACAATCAAGAGTTTGAGGCTAGCGGACGTTCAAAGAAAATTGCCCGTCGCAATGTGGCAGCCATTGCCTGCAATACTCTATTCAACACAAATTATGATGAGGAAATGAAAACTGAATAAATTTACCTAGCCCCCATATTTAGTTTGTAAGCATTTTTAGACATTACAAAAACAAAACCAATCCCCCTTAACAAAACACAGACACACGCATCCTAGTTCATATTACCTATAAACAAAATACGGTTTAAACACGATGATGATGATTCTCAAAAACCTGTATTTATTTTTTTAGTTTTAGAGTTTATATTCCATGTCTATATTATTTGACAATGACGAGACGACGACATATGGTCCTGTGTATTTCTCTACTATTTTTTTTTCTTCTAGTATGGATTATATAAATTGGAAAAAAATAAACTAAACATACAGACAAAAATTGATTAAAAACTAAAAAAAGTTTTATTATTTAAATTAGAAACATATGTATTTATATATGGAACGAATAATGGATCATCTTTTGGTCGTATTAGGTGACATCAATTTTTTTAGTCCGAAGAGGAGACATTTTTTGATCCAAAAAAACTAATTTTTCCTTTATGATTCGAATTGGATGAAATTTAGCAGAGGCCACTAATTTGGCCCAAGGACGAACCCTATTCAAATTGGTGAAAATCAGTTCAGATTTTAGATATAGCTCCCATATGTATTTTCGTCCAAAGATCTAAAACTTGACCGATCGGCACAAAATTTTGCAAAACAAATTGATATTAGTATATCCTATAGTGTATAATTTCGTCGACCTAAAACTTGACCGTTCGGCACAAAATTTTGCAAAACGAATTGATATAAGTATAGCCTATAGTGTGTTAATTTTTGTTGAATTTAGATATAGCTCCCATGACATTTTCGTCCGATTTCAGGTAAATTTTACACCAAAGACCCAAATTTTGGCTGATCGGCACAAAATTTTGAAGACGACTTGATATTAGTATAGTGTCAATTTTTTTTAAATCGGTTAATATTTAGATGTAGCTCCCATATATATAGTTTCGTCCGATTTTAGGTAAATGGTGCACCAAAGACCTAAAACTTGAGCGATTGGCACAAAATTTTCAAAACGAATTGATATTAGTATAGCTTATAGTGTGTTAAGTTTTGTTGAAATTGGTTCAGATTTAGATATAGCTTCCATATATAATTGTGTAGATTGAGTTTAGAATGATGTGTGCTAAGTTTTGTTGAAATCGGTTCAGATTTAGATATAGCTCCCATGTATATTTTCGTCCGATTTCAGGTAAATGGTGCATCAAAGCCTCTACATTTGTTTCGATTTACACCAAATTGTGTATATCGTATTAAATTAGGTGTAGAACGATGTTTTCTAAATTTTGTTGAAATCGGTTTAGATTTAGATGTAGCGCCCATGTATATCTTCGTCCGATTCTAGGTAAATGGTACACCAAAGACCCTAAATTTGCCCGATCTGCACAAAATTTTGCAAAACGTATCGATGCTAGTATAGACTATCGATATACTTCTCATATATATATAGCTTTATTTTATTGTCCATTAATAAGGCCCCCATTAGAATTTTTGTTTTCAATTTTTATTTTATTGTTTTAAATTAGACTCCAATGTCTTTGCAATTGATCATTTTTGGGTAGGAACAATGTTTCCGGCTTCTCAAAAGCCAAAGCATACTGTTGCTGTTTGGATTTCTTTGTGGTGATTTCTTGTTCAAATATCTGCAGCGAAATGAATAAATAAAAACAATGATAATTGTGTATGGGATTTGAATTCAATGTTACTTACATCTTCTTCCTTAACTTCCAATATTTCTGATAAATCCCATTCCAGCTTTGGCAATGGTTGTGCTATAAAACGAGCTGCTGTCGCCACTGATGGTATGGCATGTTTCTGCAAAGCGACAATTTCCCACAATGAACTATCGATGGCATTCGATTTGACGGGATCACGTTCATGCATTTGATATGGATCTGTGGATACTGTGGGACCAAGAAAAAACCACGACAATAAATATTTATTAAAAAATAAAAATATTTAAAGAAATACCTTCCAGAGCTTGTGTGGCACATATTAAACGTTTCAAACCCAAATGACGCAGCAATAGATTACCAATAAATTGCAACATTATTACGGTGTCCTGTGGTGGTGCTATTAAACTTAAACGTGCCAAACGTTTGACGAATGCGGCCACCAGATTTTCCGGTAAGTGTGTCGATGACAAAAATATATCGGCCAAATAGAAGAGGCGAGCCTTATATTTGGTATGGAAAATATCCGGTTCGAACATGGAGTAGAGTTTTTCATAGACATTGGGATAGGTGATATTGTGTTTTTGGATTAACGTAAATACACCCTGCAAAGCCAATAATGAGACAGGACCACCTGTGTAGAATAAAAGAAAAAAATAATAAATCTTTGAACTAAGTTTTTTTGGAAATTGGTCACTTACCACAATCCAAAGAATCCATAAGGAAATCCGTTAACAATACGGGCTTCTCCAAATGTGACAACACACACTCCAGCAACACAATTAACATTTGCCTATGTATGGCTTCGCCCAGGTTTGGCTCCAACCATGTCATAATATTATTCCAAATACGATTAATGTGTTTGCGAGTGGTCGAATACTCAAATTTCTCCGTTTCGGGAGCATCTTCTGTCAGCGGTACAAATAATTTGGCATTGTCCTGAACAGCCTTGTTCAAGGGTATGGCATTTAATAAATGCAAACAATTAAGAGCGACATTTTCATTTTGTGTCATTGATTTCTTAACCATCGATGATAGGATAAACCATGAGTTCTGCACAATATCCAAATATTCGGAAAATTCTTTAAAACTTGATAAGAGGGGTTGTATCGAACGCTTCTCGGTTAGAACTTTTTCTATGATGCTGCGTAAACGTTTGCGTGGAAAATGTAATGGTTCTTCATCGACATTTATGGGATATTTTCCTTCGGCCGCCAGAAGTTTCATACAGGAGATTAAAGCCTGTGAACTGTCTTGTGATTTTTCACAATTTTCGATGGCGCTTAGCATTAGGTTCCATGTCTCTTCGTAACGTTCTCTTAACCAATCACGATATTTTGTTTCGGCTTCAGATTCCAGGGGCTGCTTGGCATTACCTCCACCCACAAACATTTCTTTACGTTTTAGCAATTGGGTGAAAACAACTTCCAGGGTGAGCAGGGCTGGGGTCAAGGCATCTTTCTTTTTAATGGCATTCTGTGAGAAGAAATTAAAACTGCGTCAGTTTCCAATATTTATAATGAGTAGCCTTTACTTACATCCAAATAATGTATGATCTCTTCCAAATTTTTTGATTTGACTTTACTGTTTAGGAAATCGTTTGCTTTTGCCCTCAGTTCCTTGGATATTTTACTCTTAAGTGTGCTGGCAGCTGGTGTTTCAGTTGGAGCCATTTTTTCTTAGAGATATTTCAATATTTTCTTTTAAAAATTGTAAATTTTATAAATTCTGCATGCACGCCAATACAAGATAATACAAAACTAAAATGAAAACAAACACATGTGAGAAATGTAAACACATGGGCAGAGTTGGGGAAAATTAACTCACCACACTGGAGAAAACGTACACCATTTGGTTTTTGTTCAAAAATCTAAGGTTTGTGTACATTTTTTCTTTTTACATAAAATATAAACTATATATATATATATATTAAGTCCCTTAATATTAATAATTTAATATATATTTTTAATTATTTTTGCTCATTATATGTAATAAGGTAACATGTTTTTACGATACGTTACGTCTAATCAATGCTAGCTATCTGTTTTTTGTTCAAAAATCTGGGTTTTGTGTACATTTTTTTATTTTTACATTAAATATATATAATATTTTTATTAATTTAATGCATTCATATTATTAAATCAACATATGTTTTACGATACGTTGCGACTAATCAATACCTACTGTCTGCCATATGTTTCTAAATGGTGAGTATGAAGCGCTCAATTAGAAGTGAGAGAGAGAGAAAGAGTTTGTTTTATTTTCATTGTGGCAAAGAACATAACTTTTGTTAGTTTATTTAAAAATTTACTATTATTTTAATAAGAAATTATATTATTTTTTTTAAATAAAAGCAAAAGAGTTCCTATAGGTGATTAAAAACCCAGTGGAATTGTGCAAATCTTCCCACATTGACAAATCAAAACAAATAGCCGAGAAGGAGAGCCACCACATGTCAGGCTATTTACAAAAGGAACAACAACAATAGAAAACAAACTAAAAGTCATAAAAGAATTTAATAATAAACTAATAAATATATTTAAAAAAATATGACTTCCACATCCTTCGAACCGGTGCTAACCAAAGCCGCATTGGCCTTACGAAATAAACAACAAAAACCGGAATTCAAAGCATTGGTATTTGAGGAGCCCAAACCCACAACAACTGAAGATGGAGGAGCACCCCCCACTGATACCAAGAAGAAGAAAAAACGTCCCTCGGACGACGAGGTGAAACCCGATGAAAATGAATTTGATATTAAAAAGGCCCGCCATGAAATTCTCAACTTTGCCATGAATAATCAGCGGGTACAAAAAAATCAAAAGAAAATGAAAATATTCCAAATGGTTCAGCTGGGTGCCAAACCAAAGAAATCCTATAAAAACTATAAGGAACTATTGGATGAAAGGCGGCGTCTAAAGGACATTCGTGAGGAGCGTAAAAAATTCCATCAATTGGGTAAAAATCAAACGGGTGCAGCATCGGTTAAATGTCGCAGCAAAACGAAAATTGAAAAGCAATCGAAGAAAAGGGCACCCGTATCGGCTATCGATCAACATTATGGCAAAGTTAATCCTAAGCTCAAGAAAAGGAAATGAATAAATTTTAGTAAAAAGAAAAAAACTGTTGGCTTTTCATTTTCATCAAGGTTATTCTATATTTTATCATATATCTCGGGTCAGGTATCTCCGGGGTGGAAAATTCTTAATATACAGGTCCATATTTAGCTTAAGTTGAGGGCTTTAGGACTGGAATTCTGATATTTTTGCCATATGTAGGTCAAGTCTCTCTGATCATGAAAATATATGACTCATGGAGGAAGTCCATACTTTCCAAGATATAGCCCTGTGAAATTTCGTTTTTTTATGTACATAACTTCGTCATTTGATAATAATTCAGAGGTGAGCTCCTTCTAAATTTCCATCCTATATATATATATATCAATTTCTATCCGATATGCCTATAATTAGGAACTTCGGTTTTTCAAAAACCTCCTTTTATACCATGAGGGACTTCGAGAACATTTTTCTTCCGCTAAATTTTAAACTTTTGGTAATCATTACTATGTGTGGACGCCAGTCCTATGTGGAACAGTAAAACAGAGAGTTTCTCTGGGTGGGGGATATCTGCGGAGTCACAGCTACCTATTATGAGCTAAAAAGAAGGCATAAGGTTCCCATGTCGCTTATCTGCGGCACTTAGGGCGTAGACAAGGTACTTGTTTTCATCTTATAAAGCGATAGGTCGGTATGTAATCAACTACGGGATGGCAGTGTAGTTCGCGAATATCAATGATATATATCAGAATTTCGACCGGGACACTATATCTCCTATTGACTTCCCCACCCATGTGATTAAGGTTGATCCATATAATATAAACATAGAAATCCAAAGAAAACGGCCTTTAAGGTATGTTTAGACTTCCACTTTCTTACGTCAAATATAATTCTCTGGATTTGTGAGCAGGATTAACGTGACGTATACGCAATGGAATTGACCTATGTTCCTCTATGAGGTTATATTTATACCCGATTTTGGGCACACGTCAAAATCAATCCGATTTTGTGCTAAAAATTTTATTTAAATCGCATTTATACAATCACATCCCTCTAAACATGCTATAACTTCAACAAACAGTGTTGTATTTGACACAACATATGTTTCCATTACCGTTGAACGAAGTATTTGTGTACAGCAGACTTTTTTGCGTAAGGTTACGTGATTTTTTTGTGTGTGGAATACTCGAGGAAACGCAAAAAAAGGAAAATGTTGCGAAACGTTCGTTCCTGCAATTCCCTATTGGTTCGCTGCTACTCCCAAGGTGCGGGAGCTGCAAAACCCACTGGTGGTGCCACAACCCCCAATGTTACAGGTCTTAGCTCGAATTGTGTAAAACCCACAAGCGGACCCGTCGGATTTATGGGTGCTTCGGCCGATAATCCCAACTACAAAGTTCCAGAATATTTCTCCTTCAATCGTTTTTCGTATCATGAAGCTGAAGTGGAAATGGCCAAATATCGTTGCCCCCAACCATCTGCCTTGAAAAAGAACTAAAGATGTATTGTTTTTGTTGTGAGATTTAAAGAAAAAACTTAAATAAAATTTAGAAACAAAAAACGATACAATGTGACAAGAAAAAAATATACAAAATTCGTTTTATTTATTTGTGTGTGGGTGTATGTGCAAATTTTATTTTTATGAACAATGGAAAAAAATACAAAATTTTATTTTTTAAACTATCATTTCTAATTCACGGGCATAGAATATAGCTTGCTCAGCCAATTCTACTGAGGGCAGTACTTCTTTAGGTTTAACCGATTTATCGACAAAATTGTAAACGCCATCGGCATCCAATTGCCAGTTGCGTTTAACACCAAAAGCCTTGACCTCGTCGATAGTTTTGAGATTTAGTCGTTTGGCAGCATCTTGAAGGGAAATTTTATCATAGGCCTTTTCAATGCAGCCAGCAATTTCATCACGCACTGTACACAGCAGAATGTCCATGAAATAACAATAGATTTCAGAGGGTACGGAACTCTGTGGTAAAGAATTTGAGCAATTTTTAATGACAATAAAATTATAAAAATTTAAAAGTGAAAAAATGTACCTTTGCTTGGAATATTTTATTATAACGTCCCTCCATAATGTATTGTTCCAAGGCCAGAATGGGTCCAATGTATTTATTGGTGTGTATTATTTCCGCCGACAATAATTCAAGTTCAGTATGGAATTCTGATACACGATTAACCGACAATAGGTATAAGAGATTTAATCCAAGCAGTTTAAACATATTTTCAGATTCACCAATTTGTTTCCTGCAATTAGAGAGACAATAAAAAAAAATTAATAATAATCCCTTAGTCTAGGTTTATACATGCAACTTTTGTAAGGAACTCTGTCACAAGGGGGAAGAAATTCAAAAGAGACATAAGGATCATAACAAAAAACAAATTAGAGAAAGTCCTTCCGATTCTGATTACAATATTTTTTATAGAACGGTTCCGAAGATACTCCAACATTTTTACAAATCATATGTGTGCATACTATTCAATAAACTTCTTGATAGTCTCTCTTTAACAAATTGTCGACCAGGACGGCATTCTGACAGGTCTGAAAACTCCAAGTATTCACGAACCACATAGGCACCGTATTGCCATAGACCGATCTATTGCTTTATAAAAGGTAAAGAATAAGGTCTTTTGAGTGACCCAAATGCCGGCAAACGATTTGAGGACCAAGTTTGAGGTAGTTTTTCTTTTCATTTATGCGCATATACGATTTTTTCAGCTGTCCATAGAAGTACCGTCCTTAAACTTCCCGACCGAAGACTTTCTGCTTAGAACAAAATTGTAAACTAGACTTGTACCCCAACAGGAATGGGTGTTTACCTTCTTCTACTGTGCGTCTATCATTTAATGTAATAACCTTCTTGCGATCAAAAAAATGCATGCTCTTGATTCAGACCACAAGGAATCACAAAAAAATCTGAAAATTTTTTTGAAACGTTTCTTACATTTAACCCGTTACGTGGCCATAGCTTACAGCCTTAAAATTTTAACATTTTTCTTTCAGAGTTAAGCAGGGTTTTTTACATTCGTTTTTTTTAGTGGTCCCCCTTCCAAAACGAATTGCATTTTTTTGTCCACCTGCAGCTGTCTTCCTCTTTGCATTTCCTTTCTTCATTCCAATTTACTTACTTGTAATCATAATAATAGCACTTCAATTGTGACATATAACGTTCGAATGCCGGAATATCTTTGGTAGCAACACTATATTCCACGGCAATTTCCAAAACATTGCGCGATAGAACCATTTCAGCCTTTGTGGAGGTAACATCTTTGGTGGGTAAAAATGCCAATTTTGTTAACGCTACCTACAACAAAATAAATCAATATTTAAAATAAATAATTTACAATTTACAATAAATTTGGTTTATAGGTTAAAAACTTCCATTTCCTAGCTGTTGTTGGGTTTTTGCACATACCTTCAATTGATCCAGCAATTGTCCACATTTCTTAAGATTTTGTGGTTTCTTTGACCATTCGGCATTTAATTCCTTAAATAAGGCTTCAACACTTTCCAATTGAGACATAATGGCTGTAGGCTAGTTTTCCTATTTGTTATTATTTTAAAAATGAAATTCCTTGAAGTTATTTCTTCTGTGCAAAAGGCAATGATTTGCAAATCAATGGTGATGTTGTTTTGTTTGGCCTGCTGTCAGTCTCTCACTCCCAGCTCGCTCGCTCTCTCCCTCTCTTGGTGCAAACAGTTGTCATTTGCTCTCTGTTTTTTTCAACCGTCATGTTTGTTTTGCTTCTTTGACAGCTGTCACAGTGACATTACGATTGGGGCGCCATTTTCGCCAATTTGATGCTGTCAAAATGACGCCATTTTCATTTTTTCTCTTCTGTCACACACAAAAATACTTTTGGCTGCCTGCCGTACGTACAAATTGAACTAAAAGCGTTGTTGGTCGTTCATTCGTTTACGTTGCAATTAAATAATATTTTCACTGTGTGTTTGCTGACAAGAAGTATGGAAATTCATTTTATATAAATAAAAATATTAATAAAATACCCACGAATCAAATAGAAATTCAAGTGATTTATTTAAGTGATATTATTTGTGTGTGAATAGCCAGCCAACCATCGAGTGAGCGAGCGAACGAGCGTCGTTGTGTCAAAAAAGAAAACGAAAGAAAGTAAAACAACACAGAAAAATATTATTAGCTGCTGCTGTACCCCATCGTCGTTGTAGTCGTTGCGTTTGTTCGCCCGCCTATATGTACCCTTTTTCAACGATTTGGTTAAGAATTTCGGTGGCCAGAAACCAAAAATTCATGTGAACAACTAAGAAAGTGACGCAGATTTTATTTAATTTAGCCAAAGTAAGTGAATTCCTTAGGCACCATTTATAGTGTTGTGAAAATTCCGCGCAATAGATATTAGTTCAGTACTTCTGGTGGTCGTAGACATTCAGATATTTGTGGTGTTCATATGCAGCACTGCATAGCTAGAGATATATACGTACGTACATAGACATGGCACAGCACGATTATTATGTGTTGCTTGCTTGTTTTTGACATTAATGCTTGCTTGCCTGTGGGTTATATCAGTACAGTAAATCAAAACAGATCAAGCTTTCAACAAAATATTTAATTTTAACAAAAATGGGTAATTGAATTTTGTTTCAAATTTCCATTTCCATCAAGGAAAATAGTGCAGATCTCTTAGTGATATTTATTTGGAATATATTTAGTGTATTCTCTATTTTGCTGCGGGAGGTGTAAAACTCCCGCCAATTTTTTTGGGGTATAAACTGTGTTGCCACATCAGTACAAACAACATGTATGCTTTCATTACATGAGGGTATTTTTGTTTGTTATGAATGTAATTTTTAAAATATTAGTTTTGATCCTTTTAGCATTGAAGGAAGTTAGACAGCATGGACGGACGGACAATTCATAAATATCTTTGGAAACTGTTAAAAAATTAATACCCATGGGGTCACGAAGGTACTACCACCATGATACTACTATACTTTTCAGCATAAGTAGACTTGATATTCCTCCTTATGAACATTTTTACTAATTTCTTCCCGCCTTTCTTTCAGATCATATCATCATATGATTTTCCCAAATGTAAAAAATGCGTGTTGGCAAAAAATTGAATAAAACGACGGACATCAAGAAGAAAACTCGTTCCTGTGTAGTTCGTTTAGAGAGATTATCTCACGATTCATTTTCCCCCAACACCTCACCAACCAGCAATTCACGCCGATCCCTCAATTCATTACAACAACAACATCAAAAGAAAAAACAACAAAGTGCATCCCCCCAACAGTCATTGGAAAAAGTTGGAATGGTGGGAGTAACTCCCCGGCAACAACAAGCAACAGGAGGAATAAAATCAGCAGCGGCAGCCCAGACAAGAGAAGGAAGAAATTCAATTAAAACTGTTGCTCCCATTCAAAAGAGAATAACTGGCAATAGTCAACAACAACAAACTCCACAGCAACAACAACAACAACAGAAATCAACAGCAAACATGTCCGCATTACGTTCAAATCAAAAAATTCGTTCGGTACCAAAATCGATTAGTCGTGGTATTGCAAGGACAGCGGCAGCAGCATCAACACCAGCTTCATCCAAGGCGGCCACACCAGTCCGTGAAGAAACACCAACGCCCACAATTGCTGCTGGTCGTTCGCGACGAGCCATCAAACCCAATCCCAAATATGCCAGCGAAGATATGGTTACACCCAAAATGGTACGTAATGTTGGAGCAACACATGCCTCCGCTGCCAAAACACAGCAAGCCACAACAGCTGCAACGGCGGCCGATAAAAAAGGTCGCAAAAATTCAGTTTCCTCAGATGATTTTTATAATCGCAACTCAGAAGATGAATATGAAGAAGATGGTGATATGCAGAATCTTTACTCCCCTGCAGACACCAAGGGTGATAAGGCATATCGAGTTGATGACAAAGAAGAGTCTCTGGACTCGGATATATCCGAACTTGAGGAAGAGATAACAAAGCGTTCGGTGAAATCAAGAGGTAGACCGCGTCAAGCAATGGCGCAACAAAGTGGTCCTACAAATAAATCCAATAACCAACAGCATCAACAACAACAGACGTCTTCAGGAGGCGTCAAACGTTTGATTCAAACACCCGTACGAACTGTACCCACACAGCTACAGCAGTTACGGCGTTCCCTACAATCGGCCAATGCCCAGCGTAATCAGAATCTTTTAGCCGGTAGTGGAGCGCAAAAACGTAAACTGGCAGCGGTAAAGGATCCCAATGAAAGCGATGACAGCGATGATGATGGTGAAACGTACACAGTGGCCCGCAAACAAATGCTGGTAACCACCGCTTCGGGTCTTAAGTTGAGGATGCCGGTAAGGGATAATGCCAATACACCCATGGCCAATAAACAACAGCAACAGCGGATTGTAACTGGACAGAAATTAGCTGGCAGCAATGAGTTGTCATCTCGTTTATCCCTGAATGGTGGAAATCGTAGTCTTCACACCCAGCTCATTGATCGCAAGAAAATAATCGAGTCCAATAAATCAGCAACAAATGATACCGTGAATAACAACAACAGTAGGACAACAAATATCAAAACATTATCAAATAAACAAAATCAACAGGCGTCGTCCACGACGACGACGACATCATCTGCCGGTGTGGCAGGAAATAGACCTGCCAGACAAAACACCACCGTCACTGTCAATCAGAAGAATATATTGGGTTCAGGTGTTACAAACATAAATCGAGTGCCACGTACCAGCTCACCCAAACCGCCATTGTCTCGAAAGGAAGCTAGCAATAATAGCTCCTCCTCGAAGTTGACCAATTCAACATCAAGTACACAATCCGGCGGCGCTGCACAAAAGAAGTTATCAGGGCCTGGAACAAAACCCATTGATAAATTAAAATCTGCCTTGGCATCATCAGTGGCTTCGGCTTCATCATCATCATCAGCGGCTACCACAAGAGCTGCAAATAATAGTAAAAATGCATCCCCATCACAGTCTGGCGGTAAAGCAGCGGCAGCAGCATCAGCGGCTTCTACTCCAGTCCAGGAAGAGGAGGACAGTATTGCAATTGTAAATGATGACTCTCCAAACTCGACCATGGACGACTTTGAAACGATGCCCACATTTACCATTGTCAATGTCAACGATATCATCAACAAAAAGGGAGATGTTTTAATAACAAAGGCCAACAAAAACAACAGTGCCTCAACACCGACAGTTTTAGAATTCTCGGAAAGTATTAGCCTGGATGATGATGAAGATGTTGGCGGTGAGGGCGATGGGGAAGGTGATGGCGATGATGAAGAGGATGTGCAAGATGTAAATGTGGTTAGGCAAACAAGTCGAGGAAATAACAACAACAAACGGCAGCAGCTGGCCAATGCCAAGCTCAAGAAGTCATCACCACAAACGAACAAAGCTAGTGGGGTGGAATCGAAAAAGAAGTTACCTTTGGCACGTAGTAGTGGCGGTGACAACGGTACACCCATGGTAGCGAGACGACAACAACAACAACGGTCCATTAATAAACCATCACCACCAGCAGGACCAAAATCACATGCGAATGCCGCCAAGCCACCACAAATACTTAACCATCGTCTGGGTATGCGCAACAATGCCCGAATAACAGCAAAGACCACCAGCATAGCAACAGCAGCGACATCATCCAATCCCGATAAACCTGCACCACGTATTCTAAATGCCATGGTGGCGAAAAAGACCCAACCCGTCAAACCAATGATAACAAATCTGGACGATTCGGCTGAAGAAAGTTTCCCCCTATCACTGGACGAGGAAGAGACCGAGGATGAAGCTGAAAGCAAAACATATGGTCAACAGCAAAATACAGCCGAAAACGACAGTTCCCATTATCCCCTAATGGATATAGATGATACAGAGGATACTGAATCGCAAAATTCCGATCATGAGGAACCAACACCACCACCGCCACCCCCCACGAAAGCCTTAACCTCTAGAAGTCAACAACAACAATTGAATTCTTCGGGGGGCGGCAACACGGCCAAGAAATCGCCCTCACCAGCCCAAAGAAAGAAACGCCTGCCACAGAATACTCAGCAGACATCGCCACTGGCGGTGACCACTAATAAGAAGCGGATATTAACACCCATAGCGGCCAAGGAAAATTCACTGGCTGCCACAAATCAACAGGTGTCGGCGGCGGCGACCGACTCAAAATCCGCCTTGACATCACCCCAAATCACCCCGCAAACACGTAAACAACCACCCGAAAAGGTGGTCATATCGAAGCAGGGCGATAAAATCATAAAGAAAATAACCTGCTTCGAGACATGGTATGTCATCAATATGCCCGTCGAACCGAAACGGCCAACTTTGATCAAAAATCAATTGGATATGCCGTTGATAAATTTGGCCAATGTTGCCAAAAGTGTTCGCCTGCCCAACGATTTGTGGAATTGTAAGGTAACGTTATACGAACTCTCAGCCACCACATTGGCCAAGGGTACATTTGTCACCTACATGGGCGATTTGGATGAGTACAATATTAACGAAGAGGATCGTGGTAAAT